TGCTAATAAGCGTCAACTATTTCAGTTACATTGTTAGTACTGTCTGCTCTCTACTGAGGTCTACAGGTCAGTATGTCCTTCCCGAATAAATACAGGTCTAGAGACATTGACCTAGACAGTAACTTTCTGCCTGGTAACTTCGACCATCACTCATCTCCAGTGAAGTTCCCACTGTGGAAAAAAGAAAACTGCTTTGATACATAGAAACAGGATCCCATTGCGCTAGAGCTAGCAGCTCTTGGAAGCATTGCCAGGCTTTGCTCTGTACTTGTGCTGATTTCAAATCTTATTAAGCCAGGAAGTAGTGCCTGGCAAGTGGTTTACCCCGCCTTGGCTATTCATGCTTTCCAATTCATTTTTTATTGTGCTAATTAAACCTCAAGTGATATTTCAAGTACAGATTGTTTTTTTCCATTATTGAATCTTTGGCCAGCATATTAACGCTGTAGAATTAATGTGAGTCAGATGCTTACTCATTTGTGGAAGACTTTACATTTAAAAGATCTAGACTTGGCCAATTTTACAGATTCCTTTGGAAACTGCTATGACAGGGTGAAATAATTTCTCTATAAATAAAGGAGACTCATTCTTCTTTCACAAAATAGACACATATTATTTTTTAAGTGAACTAAATTCTTAGATCACTGGGATGCTGTAGTATTTGTGGCCTGGGCTAAAATGAATATATGCAGCTCAAGGAAGTAGTATGTAATGACTCCAAGCTTTGGGTTCAAATCCCATTTTCTACATTCACTTGGGTAACTTTTAAAAGATGTATTTGACTTTTCCAAAATTCATAGACTTAATTAACTTAAAATGGGCAACTTTCAAAATTGATTGAAAGGATTCAGTAAAACAGCAAAGGACTAGATGAGAATGTTTGTTTCAATGAATGCTAAATAACTGTTAGTACTGCTACTTTGGCAAATAAAAATTATAAGAGATGTTAGTCATATAAATTTAAACTTGCAAAAAACCATTAGAGTCTACAGGGAAAATTAAGATTATGACATAGAATTTTCTAGTGAAATCTCTTTCTTTGCTCAAAATATCTGAAGTAATAGACAGATATATGAAGGGAAGGAGATGAATCCCATAGCTTTGTATCTGAGGTGCCAAATGTCCTTAAGATCCATAACTGGTGTTTGGCTAGAGGAGTGCTCATACCATTAGGACAAGCACTATTCCAGATCTGGCCTGTATTGTCTCTCCAGAGTCAGTAGATCAATCTAAAAAAACACAAAGCAACTAAGAGGGTATCAAAGATGCCCCAAAAGTTTTAGGGCTGGGGGGATGAATAATAACCAGCTTAAAGACTAGAAATGCAGCCGGGCGCGGGTGGCTCACGCCTATATCCCTAGCTACTCAGGAGGCTGAGATCTGAGGATCATGGTTCAAAGCCAGCCCAAGCATGAAAGTCCGTGAGACTCTTAACTCCAATAAACCACTAGAAAACCAGAAGTGGTGCTGTGGCTCAAGTGGTAGAGCTCTTGGCTTGGGCTGAAGAGTTCAGGGACAGTGCCCAAGCCCAGAGTTCAAGCCCCATGACTGACAAGAAAAAAAAAAAGGCTAGAAATGCTGGTTACTAATTTGGTCATGGGAAAGCTAACGGATACTTGTAGAATTTCTGTCAGCTACAGGAAGTAAGAGTATAGGTAACACATGGTGTTGGCTGATAGCATATTAGCTGAGAGTCTGTTAATACATTTATCCATCTATCTTTGTCCCATAGGGCTATGGTGACTGCACCTCTCTTTCCTCATCATCATAAAATTGGTAGGTTTTCCTCTAATGAGAAATAAAACAAAGATTCTGAGGAATACCAGGTAGATTTAAGGCTGTGGAAACACAAAAGCATGTTACATTTCTAGATTAATTTTGATATTTCCAGTCTCCTCCCTCATCTAATAGGAAATTAGAAGAATATTTTTCATTGGGCTCATTTGACCAGTTTCTTCCTCAAAATAATGATATTGATAATGGTACATTTTACCCAGTAAAGAGGTTAGTGGTATTATCCTACAGTCAAGATGACAGCTAAATAAATGTACAGTATATTCTAAAAGATAACTGAACAGCTAAAGATAGGCAAATATTTGAAGAAAGCCTATAATCTGAAGGGCAAATGAAAAACAACCAAAGAGAAGAAGAAACAATATGCCTCACAACTGCAAGAAACAAGGGTAATGTAAACAGAAGAAAATTAATTTTAAAAATGATCAAAAAATATATTAGAGATGAGAAGAAATATTATATCAATGAAACAAAAACAAGGTGCTAAGATAAAGAAAAAGGAAATAGAAAGAGCCTTGGAAACAAAGAATGGCAGAGGGGTGAAGAACCTCAAAAGAAGAGCTGAAAGGTATCTCTGTAGAAAGTACCCTGGTAAAAACTGTAAAAAGGGCCAGCCTCCCATGGCTCACACCTGTAATTCTAGTTACTCAGGAGGTTGAGATCTGAGGATTGTGATTCTAAGTCAGCCCAGGCAGGAAAGTCCGTGAGACTTTTATCTCCAATAGACTACTCAGAAAAAGCCAGAAGTGGTGCTGTGGCTCAAGTGGTAGAGCGCTAATCTTGAGCAAAGAAAGAAGCCCAGGGACAATGCCCATCCCCTGAGTTCAAGCCCCAGGTCCAGCACCAAAAAAAAAAAAGAAAAGAAAAAGAAAATTAGAGCAAATAGTCACAAAGACAAATATAAAGGAGAAAAAAGATTTAAAAATGAAAATATCTAATATCCAAGTAAGAGTTCTGGATGGCTAGAAATCATTGCATTGTAGCTGGGTTGACATTTCTCACCTTCTTCTGGAGATAAGTGTTGCATTCTATAATTGATTCAGCCTTAAGCATGATGACGTGATAACTATTACATTACAGGTGCCTCATCTGTCAGTAATGCTTATATACTCACAATAAACTTTAAATCTTCATAGACAATTAACTTTCCAGCAGGTGGAGAGTTGCTAAGACTGATCTATGTTGAGTCTGGAGTGGGCATGTAGGGAAGGCTGGTATTCTGTGTGAAAGTAGCCTAGTTCTCTTCTATAATGGAAGGTCAGCAGATAATATTAAAACAGAAAAACCCAGAAGGAGCAATGTAAGCATTATATTTAGTAACGTAGCAATCAATACCCAAAGAAGCAATGCTATCTAGGTGAGATGGAATTACTATTTTTTTACACAAATTGTTTGTTTTTCTTAACAAGTTTGATAGAAATAAGTGGCTATGTAGTTGATTAGGAAACAAAACATATACTTTACAGAATCTGCTTGTGTCACACCATTGACTTCTAGGATATTTTGTTGTGACATGCTCCTTAATAAATTAGCCAAATTGTCACAAAAGCTGTAAAGAAAGAAAACATTAAGAGAAGAAAAGTTGACTCAACCCAAACCTCACAGGTTTAGGTCCTAAGATTGATTTATATATATTGTGCTGTCTCTTGATCATTATTATAAACTTCACTTTACTCAGGGTATTAAGGCCTTTTTGAAATCCTGTGAAACATTGCTCTTCATTGGATGCTTATAGGAAGGAAGAATTGCAAGGAGGAATCATTAGCTTCTGAAAATGGGTTGTTGGTCTGTCCTCGCTCAATAATAGGAACACTATGAGATATACACTGTATAAATCTTGTTCTAGTCTGATTTTAATAATGAAGAACAATGGCTTTACCAATAAAGGCTGTTTTGTAAAGAAAGGGTTATATGCAGCAAAGTGAAGATGGTCGACTGCCAGGTGGGTGGGGTGGGTGGGTTAATTGCAGTTTAATGGCTGTTGAAGATCAATTGCCTTTTCTGACCTCTCCGTTGCTTCTGGGTTAATGATGTATCACAGTTCTATGGGACCCAGCTGTCTCCATGAGCTATGTTTCTAATACAAAAAAAAATGTTTGACTATCATATAATTTCTTCTTCTGCAAACTGCCTTTGTGTAAAAAAGTATTAGGATTCCTATGTGGTTTAAAGCAGCACGCACACACAGTATGAGTGGTACTTTGAAATGATAGCACATCAATTACAATAAACATGTTTAGCTTTGGAAATGTAGGACCATCAAAACCTTGCTCTGCTGAAATGCCAAAACATGTTTATAATGGTTCAAAATTTCCTTGATCAGAAAATACGTTTTTCTAGTGTCTAAAAAAAGAATTTTTGCTGGGCACTGGTGGCTCACATCTGTAATCCTAGCTCCTCAGAAGGCTGAGATCTGAGGATCATGGTTCAAAGCCAGCCCAGGTAGGAAAGTCTGTGAGACTCTTATCTCAAATTATCTACCAGAAAACTGGAAGTGGTGCTGTGGCTCAAGTGGTAGAGCACTCACCTTGAGCTGAAGAGGCCCAGAGTTCAAGTCCCATGACCAACAAAAAATAAATAAAATAGGAATTTTTGTAATGAAGATTCATATAATTTTTATCATATTGCAAATAGGATGATTTACATCGCATGGGGACAACCTCATTCATGTGATCATTTGAGGTTCATGTTTGAAAACCTCTTTGAAACTGTATGTTGTTCAAAAGTATGTTTCAAAATCCTCAGTCTGATGGTAGCATAGGTTTATACAAGTCACTTAATACCAAAACATATATATGCAAAAATCTAGATGAATCTTATCATTTTGTGTTTTTGATTATTTAAAAAGTAGAGGATAGGATACAGGGAGAAATAAATGAGCTAAGATGTTCATCTATGGGGCAAAGTGCTTGTTTATGTGTAAAAAAAATAGAATTAGCAATTAAGGAATAGAAAGCAGAGGTGATTTTTAGCAAAAAAATTTCACTGCAATATTTTAAAGAAATATAATAAAAAATTTCCAAATCTCATTATTGTAGACATTTTGTCCATATTCTAGTCATTAAACTTATCAGCTTGATACTTGTTCAATCTTGGAAAGTAAATGATTTGTTTTCAAGCATAAAGAGCTCTCAATTTAATGCTATTATTTCAATACTGCATTGAATTTTTTTCGCATGTTTCTGTTTGCTTTCCTTGTCCTGTAGGTTTGCCATCTGCAAATTTGGCTGCGCCTAATCTGACTGTGGAGGAAGGAACGTCTATCACATTGTCTTGTAGTGTGGCAGGCGATCCATTTCCCAATCTGTACTGGGATGTTGGAAATTTGATTTCCAAACATATGGTAAGGCTTGTTTTCCAAGCATGTGGGGTTAGCTTTATCTTAGTATACAGATAATGAGAGTGTTTCAGAACCTGTAGCCACATTAAACCTACTGGTGACCATGTAATATTTTATAGGCCTAGAGATAGAAATTAACAACAAAGTTTTCATATGCATTTACTCTCCACTTATTCTTAATTACCAAATGCTAATGCAGGTTGGCATTTAAGTTATATCTACAAAGTAGACTGGAGAGTTTTTATATATCCCTAATAAGCACTTTATATCATTCTGACCTAGGAGAGTGAGGATCCTTATGATCTTTTTCCTTGGAGGAAAGAAGGTAGCAATTCAAGAGATTAACACAACATCACTCATTAGCAATTAGCTCAGGTAACTTGCCTTTACTTGAGCTCAAAGTTTTATATATGTACACACACACACACACACACAAAATACATGTATAGAGGGCTGGGAATGTGGCTTAGTGGTAAGTGCTTGCCTTGCATGTATGAAGCCCTGGTTTTGATTCCTCATTACCACAAAAACAGAAAAAGCCAGAAATGGTGCTGTGGCTCTAGTGGTAGAGTGCTAGCCTTGAGTAAAAGAAGCTCAGCATAGTGCCCAGGCCCTGAGTTCAAGTCCCAGGACTGGCAAAATAAATAAATAAATAAATGCAAAAAATATATGTACATTTGTATTTGTTACACATACTTGTTTTTAAGCCAGAGAAGAGCCCCCAAATCTGGTCACTTTGGTATCAATTCTAATTAAGGTTATTTTTGTCATTTATAGAATGAAACAAGCCACTCCCAGGGTTCCTTAAGGATAACTAACATTTCATCGGATGATAGTGGAAAGCAAATCTCTTGTGTGGCAGAAAATCTTGTAGGAGAAGATCAAGATTCTGTGAACCTCACTGTGCACTGTACGTAATCAGCCCAGCATTTGTTTCTAATAGCAGATGACTGTGGATGTTGTCATGTGGGTCAGTAGGGAGTATATTGAGGTGTTTACTTCACTAAGAAAGGTGGCCAGCCTCTTTCTAGTTCTGCTTCCTATCTCTAGCTCATACCTTGTCTTTCTTTTGAGCTTTTATTCTTATTGAGCTTGTTGCCTTGTATCTTCCCTTGTATTTTTCAGGTGAACATATTTGAGCTAATTATTCTGTTGTTAACATTTTAGCTTAAATTCTGATAAGTCAGTTCCTAAAACTTTTTTCTCCTTGAAAGCATTATAAAGCTTTAAAGTAGTGTTATCTGAAGTATTTTCTGGCTGTTCACAAATACTAGATCGTAGCATCAACATAGTAAAACTACACTAGCCTTATATTAAGTTTTGTAGGAAAGTTAAATTACTGAAAGTTATGACCACCTGAGAAAACCTGAACTCCTATTATTCCCCATTTCTGTACACATTGAAGCTTCTTGAACATACCACTGTTCTTTATGGTATTATAAATATATACATCTTAAAATTCTAGATGGTGGCATTCAGTTCAAAAATCACATAGACATGTCACATCATTGCAAATTTGGACCTGCATAATACAAATGAATGAGATTTTGCTCTGGATTAAGATTTGGATGAGAAAAACATAAGTGTTCACATGTGAATGTATGGGTAAAAAATGTACATATGTAGACACGTGACTGTATCTTGTCTCCACATACTGGTCATGCTCATAACACACCTGTAGTTGGAACTATTGATTGAAATCACCAGCCATAATTCTTAGTCCCTCTTCATCGCACTATTATGTTCAGTGGGAACTGCCTTCGTAATTTCTCACCAAAATGTTATCCTCAATATATCTCCAACTAACTATATGTAACCAGCTTTCAGCTTTATGTCCTTACATGAACACCTCATTGAAAGTTCACTTGAGCATGTGGGAAGAGTAAGTGGCTCTGGGCATGGATATAGGGTGGTGGTAGAAGGCAGGTGTGGGCCCTGACTATCTCATGGCCTTTGTTGTGGTTGGTTCATAACACAGACCTACAAAGATGTGAGTCTGCACATGTATACATCTTATTTTATGTAATGAATATAGAACTCCCACCCAAGGGTATCTAAATTGGAAGTTTTATAGACAGAATCTGATATGAACCACTATTTTGATTTCCCAAACCTATTTTAAAAAGGGCTGTGAGGAATATTTGTTTAAGCAAGTAATCAAACTTTGCAAATGGAGACATTGCAATATTGCATAAAAGTGAGAAAGCTTGTAATAATACACATTCTGTGACTGCACATGCTCAGTTGTGAGGAATTTCACTGATAACTGGAAATCTTTCTATAGAATATGAAGGCGAATTGAGCCCTTTTCCAGCTGTGCTTCTTGGTTAGTATTCTGGGAGGATTTACATGAGCACAGAGAGGGTAAGGTCAGATAACCTGCTGTCTGTTGAAGACACATGGACTTGAGTTCTTTCTCAGTTTAAGGGACTTATTTGTGTGATTATTGTGGTCTGAGAAGTTGACCTGATCTGTACAATTTTGGATAAATAATAGAATAAATCTGGGCAATAGTGTTTTAGGACTATAATCCTAGCTAATCCAGAGGCTGAGATCTGAGGATTGCTGTTCAAAGCCAGGCCAGGTATAAATGTGTGTGAGAATCTCATATCTAATTAACAAAAAGCTAAAAGTGGAGGTGTGGCTCAAGTGGCAGAGTGCCAATCTTGAGTGAAAAAGCCAAACAAGAGTGAGAGGCTTGAGTTCAAGCCATTACCAGCATGGCAAGAAAGGATGGAAGGAAGGAAGGAAGGAAAGAAGGAAAGAAAGGAAGGAAGGAAGGAAACGAAAAGAAAGGAAGAGACAAGAAGGAAGGAAGAAAGGAAAAGAAGAGACAAGAAGGAAGGAAGGAAGGAAGGAAGGAGGGAGGGAGGGAAGGAAAGAAAGGATATAATAGAATAAAACTGGGGGCATGGCTCAAATAGTAGAGCACTTGCCTAACATGTGGAAGGCCCTGAATCAAATTGCTAGTGCCAAAAAAGAAAAATAAAAGAATAGAGAATTTTGCATATTAGCAGGCTTCAATACCTAAAAATTTTTCCAATTAACATTCAGTTAACAAGCAATCTATGAAGGTTGAGATTAGACATAGGAAACCTGGATTCTGGTCCCACATTTGCCCCTCAGTGACTTTGATAAACTCCCTTAACCTCATTGAACTTTTTTTTATCTGCAAAACAATGATATTAGGTATGGAAGTTCTTTCTGGTCCTTTATATTAGAATTATCAAAGTCAGAACCCATTCAAATGAACAATGATGAACAGTTTTAAATGCTTTCACTCAGAGTAAATATTCTGTTTTAAGGCACCAGTCAATAGATCCTCTTTCCTCAAAGCATAAAATGCTAGACACTTTAAACTGACATCTAGTCTGTTTTCTCAGCCTTGGACATTTCAAGTATCAAAACACTGACATATAGAATGTAGCAAAAATGTACTACTCTAAAATTCGATGCTTTAAAAAAAGTATTTGCAATTGACAAGCAGTAAAAAATCAATTTTTTTCATATTTTCGATTAACCAATCAAGATGGATAACCATAATTCATTGCTTTGATCAGTTTGATATATCTTAGTAAAGTTATAAAAAGATTGGGGATTTGATGAAAATTCCAAAGTGATTTTGTTGTTTGGGGGGTGGTTATTTAGAGAGGTGCTATGAACATAATCCTTATTAATTTGGTAATGGATCTATGTAATATCAAGTCATATATATGAGAAGCCTTTCCACAATCAGAAATCTTTTGGATCTGTTTGAAGCTGGTTCTCATACACACAGATTGGCTTTGAAGAATGGCTATGATATGTGGGTCTTAAGTAGAGCAGGACAAGAAGTCTCCCTGAAGCTCTCTGTAGGGAGTTAAATCAAGCTGGTGATGATACAAAGCAATGATGGATTCCAGAATTACTGGTCAGAGATTCTCTTAAACAAAACAATAGTTGATTTTCTGGAGAAAATCTGGAGATGGGGAGAATGCTGAGCTTTCTGATGCTATTAACCCTCTCTTTTTCAATTTAGTTGCACCAACTATCACATTTCTCGAATCTCCAACCTCAGACCACCACTGGTGCATTCCATTCACTGTGAAAGGCAACCCCAAACCAGCGCTTCAGTGGTTCTATAATGGGGCAATATTGAATGAGTCCAAATACATCTGTACTAAAATTCATGTGACCAATCATACGGAGTACCATGGCTGTCTCCAGCTGGACAATCCCACGCACATGAACAATGGAGACTACACACTCATAGCCAAGAATGAGTATGGCAAGGATGAGAGACAGATTTCTGCTCACTTCATGGGCTGGCCTGGAATTGAGGATGGTGAGTACCAGAAGATTTGCGCATGTGGAGAGAAGGTAGTATATATATCATTCGACTGATGACAAAATCATGTGGACAATGAACTGTCCCCAGCCCCAGTGGCTAAAACTACCATTATTTATTCTTTGCGTCTGGATCTGCACATCAACTAGATTGGTTTTATCCTGTATGTACTTATTCTGGGGTACAGGGTAAAAATACAATAATAACGCAAGAGAGTGCTTCCCAGACTAAGGGTAAGATGAAAGAGGAAAGCTGGAAATGCAAAAGTCTTCATGCCATTAGCCAAAGCCAAGTCAAGGGGCAGAGACATATGCTACTCAAGCAGATGAAGGGGAATGAATAGTTTTGAATAGGCATCTGACGTACACAGGATTTCTAACTAGTATGGTAGTTCCTAAATAAAAGGGTTATTTTGTTGCTATCATTATCATCTCAGCGTTCAATGAGATTGCATACCCTTGGTGGCAAGACTCACGAAAAAAATTACAAGCTGATGGACTGTGTTGGGTTGACTCACAATATAGTTTAAGATTTATGTTCTACCCTCTGATCCATTTGGAATACAGAATCCTGCCTCCTCCTTCATAGATCCAATACAGTGCATTTCTTCTTTTGCTTATCTGGATTGACTGAGTAGAGCTACTTAAAAAAAAAAATCAAATCTGGAGTTGTTTTTCTAGCAGTGGTAATTGGTTGGGGGAAAGATGGCAGTGCTGTGACAAGCGAGTTTCAGTGTAAGTGAGGTCCCATACCAGGGGACAATTGTCATCCCTCTTCCTAGTTCTCATATTGTCCTTTAGTATTCCCATGCGCTCAGTTTTGTTGCCCAAGTGCTTGCTCCATGGTGGAATGGAAGCTGTGTTTGGATGTTAGAACTGTACATAGCTAGAACTGCTTCTTATCATAGATAAGAGTTAGTCAGTCACTCAAAGGAGACTGGCAGAGAGCAGAGGGAAGGCGAACTGGAGACATGGAGGTATAAAACTGGGGACTGCTTGGAAGTTATGCCCAGTGGCTAATGGGGCAGAGACATGGACAAAGGTGATCCACACAAAACCACTCTGCCAAGCAATAAAGATGAACCCACCCATTTTCATTACATAGAACTTCTTATTGCCCTGGCATTTTACTGAACATTTTTCAAATATGCTTCTTTGGCATGTTCAAAGTGTGATTTGAATTATGTAAGGAAGATTTATAAACAGCACTTTGAGAGCACATAAAACAAACCAGGTTTGCATGCAACACTCAGACGCCCTTGGACATTGTAGCTATTCCCATTAGATTGTTCTCTTCATATATTCGCTTCTCTTCAATATAGCTATTTGGCTGGGCTTGCTTTAATAAAGCTCTAAATTACTGTTATTTTTACTGCCTGTGATCAACTTCTCTCAGAACTAAATCTGGAAACTTTAATTGGGAAACCGCTTTTTGTTTGTTTGTGCCTATTATTTTTATTTGTAAGTAGTTTTAGAGCTACAGACAAATTGCAAAGAGGGCACAGTTCCCAACCCCCACCCAGCTGTATCCATTGCCAATATCCTATGATAAGGTGGTACATTTATCATAATAAGAAACTATACTGGAATATTACAATTCAACCAACTTCAACTTTATTTACATTTCACTATCAACAGCATTTTGAAACTGTTGGAAATGAAACTTGATACAGGGTGAAGCTTGAGTTTAAAAGCTGTCAGAGGAAGATTCTTTGATATCTGTGTGATATAAAAGCAGTTGCTTCTATTCTTTTTTAATGAGATTTTGATGTGTATTCTTTTGAACATTGCTATATGGTGTTCATATTTGGCAGAACTGAGCTTCTCTTATTCATATGGCCTCATTTATATAGATCATTTCTGTTAGTTTTAACCTGCTTAATATTGGCAAAAGATTGTTTTCAGGAATAAATCTTGAAGTCTCTCAAGTATTCTTTTCTTTTTTAAGGTGAAAGAAAGTAGCTACTCAGAAAGGTAATATCTGAGGATCTCAGTTTGAAGCTATCCCTGGCAGGGACAAGAAAGTCCATGAAACAGTTATCTCCAGTTAAGCACTAAAAAGTTGGAAGTGGTGTTGTGACTCAAGTGGTATAGAGTGCTAGCTTAGAGCATAAAAGCTTAGTGTCCAGGCCCTGTGTTTCAAGCCCCAGGATCTTCTTCCCACTCAACCACTCCCCCAAAAAGGGGAGGAAACAATCCAGCTAATTTTTTTTATATTGTATCAATAGAAATACCAGGTTTACCATGGACAAAGCCAAGAAAACCAATGATGCCAGATATTGAATTTCTATTGCACTGTCCTTTGAACACATCAGCAGGAGGTATTGCTGAGTGCAGATACCATACAGTGCACCAGCTAAATTTTTATAAGCATGCTCTCTCTCCTTTTTCCTCTTCTTATTCATTTATTCATTTTATTAGGTCTTTAAAATATCAATATCTGCTTTGGAAAAAAGACCTATTTGTTTTCTCTTTAAGTATTTATTCAAGGATCAGTGATCAAAGAGTAACAAATAAAAGTAGAAATGATGGCGGCTTGGCCCAGGGTGACAATGGAAATAGCTGGCTCACTAGACCAGTAAACAGTGTGACCAATGAGAGATTGACCTCAGTTGACTTGTGGGGTGGAATCTTTGTGGGTATTTATGAGATGAATGAGATTTATGAGATTCATATCACAACATTCAGATAATGGCCTTATTTAGAAGTGCTTTCTTTTTTCTTACCTCTCTTTAAAAGAAGCAAAAAAAAAATAAACAAAAAAAGAGAAAGAAAAACATTTCCCTGAAGTTCTTTCCAAGTTTAAGGTTAGCAGGTTGAGTTTGGCTTTATGTTCTTTCCATGTTACTGTTAACATCAGAAGTTTAGTGCACACAAATCTTTTTGGTAAGAAGTGTCTACTTGGGGAAATGGTGGCCCATTTCTGTAACATCAGCACTTGGAAGGCTGAAGCAGAAGGATCATGGGTTCAAGGTTCAAGGTACCTAGTGAGACCGGAAACAAAATGAACGAGACAAAATGCTTTATTTTTAACCACAGTGGTTTTGATGAGGTGCCTTTTATTTTTAATTTCTTTTTTATTGCAATTTCCTGTTTCACAAGGAAGCAGGCAACCTGGAATAACCATGAAGCTCTTTTACATAGAGCCAGAAGAATAATGGGTCAAAATCCTGGCATCTCTTGGAGGGCATGCCCTTCATGCAATTTACCACTGAGATGCCAGAGGATAGTTACATTGCTTAGAAATATCATTTTGAAGGCAGAGAATGAAGATTGTTGAAAAAGAATCAAATCATGAATAAAAGCAAATCAACAAAAGTCCCTACAACAGAAATTGGTGAACAAGGAACAAGATGGGCTGATTGGATGTTCTGCTAGTCTTGGTTGTCTTTGACACTGGGTGGTAGAGAAACTGCATGAATGAATGGCAGCAGTTCTTCACTTGGAGGAAAGGTCGGGCAGTTAGACCTGCAGCCAGCAACAATCCAGACCCAGGGGTGCCATTCATAAGATGTGAGGGCATGAGGCAGGCATTAAGGAGAGAGACCTAGCAAATTAAAATCCATGTGGAATGTCTTTTGAGGGTGCTAGGACCTCACAGATATGTTACTATGGAAACAGAGATGTTACCTGATCATTAGATATCACTAGTGCCTTCCACAGGGTCATTGAGAAAGAGAGAAAGGATGTCCTCAGACCCTAGACACTGCACTGAGCATTTTGTATTTAATATTTAAGTGCTAAAATCAGTTCTGGCTAGTCTGGGGTACAGTATTTTAAGGACAAAAGACAACTTTCAGCTTCCAAATGAAACCACCATCATGTTCTTCTTTGTAGCACACTGAAAAGCACAACCAGGGACTATCACATCAGCTTTACTTTATTTTTATCTTCCTTTGTACCAGTAAAGTCAGTTCACTGGGACTAGTCTTCCTTGGTTCTCAGCACAGTAGTCAAATAGTTTCCCATACCTTATTGCAAATTACCATTGATGGGGGATTTTGCACTATTAATTTACTTTATTTCATTTTTAAATACACATTTTTGAGACCCACCTTTAGCAATTCTGATTTAGTGGCTCTCAGACTGGATGTTGTGTTTTATTCTTCTTTTTATGAGATCCCATAAGTAACCAGAGGTGAGTGTCATTGCTCTGAGCCATACAGGGTTTTTCTGCTCATAATTCTTTGGTGATCCTAGGCTTTAGACAGAATCTCCATTTAGAAATCATATAACCTCTGCCAGGCACTTGGACTCACTCCTATAATCCTAGGCACTCAGGAGGCTGAGATCTGAGGATCGCAGTTCAAAGCCAGCCTGGGCAGGAAAGTCCATGAAACACTTATCTCTAATAAACTGCTCAAAAAAAAAATCCAGAAGTAGAGCTGTGGTTCAGTGGTAGAGAGTTAGCCTTGAACAAAAAGAAACTCAGAGACAGTGACTAGACCCTGAGTTCAAGCCTGCACAAAAAATGAAAAGAAAAAAAAGAAAAAAGAAATCACATAGCCCATCTGAGCTAGAAACCAGTTTTCTGGATTAGATCTCAGGATCAAGTTCCTCTTCTCTCCTCCCCAAGTTCAAGCTGGCAGGATGCTGAGGGCTGGAGCTTGCTAGCGTTTTCAGCCCTTCTCCTGCCCAGGTTAAAGAAGGTAAGACTAGCAAGTGGAACTTTGCTTGCTCATGGCTTTGTGCTCTTGAGAACTGGGAATGTTTAATACTGTAAACCTGGGCTTTCTTCCATGGGAACCTTTATGGGGTCTTGGAGATTCTCATTCTTTCTTCAGTTTCCTCTATGTGAACAGACATCTTGCTTCAGCTGGTGGAAGTTAATTCCTTCCTCCAGGAAAGAGCTTTAGGTTTTTTTGTTTTGTTTTGTTTTTTTATTTTTATTGGCCATGGGGCTTGAACTCTAGGCCTAAGTGCTATCCCTGGATCTCTTCAGCTCAAGGCTAGCATTCTACCACTTCAGCCACAACACCACTGTGGTTTATTGGAGAA